CTACCATCAACCTGTACTACAATACTTAGGATTGTTGAAATATGCTGGAGCTCCTCTGCTGCAAGTGTTGACCCTAGGGGTGTCACCTTTTCTTTTCACACCTAGGGGTGTGTGTGTGTGTGTGTGTGTGTGTGTGTGGAAATTCAAATTATGTCGGTTGTGGTACCAAAAAATTAAAAATATGTTCACTTTTGGACTTCCCCGGTAACAATTCTGCTTATCCAAATGTCTGGCGGGTTGGTTCTTCTCATATAATTAGGATAAGCGAACTCATACAGTACTTAAATTTACAATTGTTACAGTGTATGAATGTATTTTTATACAGAGTATATATATATGTATGTATACAGTACATATACAGTATTATGAATACATGTACAGTATATTATATATGCAACAACGATCACAAAAACACTGATCCTAGTATGCAGAACAACCACATTTGAAGATTCAGAGACTGCTGAACACATTTTTGGCTCAATCTTTGTATTATACTGTATAGACAGATAGATAGATATATATCTAACTATTATATATACATATACAGTGGCGTCTCGATTACCGAGTTTAATCTATTCCAGCACCGAGCTCGTCATGTGGAAAACTCGTCTTGTGAGACAACAACAAAACTGTCGCTGGAGGTGTCCGATAACCAGCGGGAACGCTCGTTAATCGAGACATATTTTCTGTGAGTGACTTGCTCGTAACTGGAGCCGCTGGTCACTCAAGGTTCCATTGTACAGTATACTGTACTATATATACATTCAAATGTTGACAATCCTGTATAAATACACATCTTGACAATCCTGTATAAATACACATCTTGACAATCCTGTATAAATACACATGTTGACAATCCTGTATAAATACACATCTTGACAATCCTGTATAAATACACATCTTGACAATCCTGTATAAATATGTTGTATTACGGTGTATTACAATTATGGTGTTGCAAATCCTGTACAATTACAGTGTTGCCAATCCTGTACAATTACAGTGTTGCCAATCCTGTACAATTACAGTGTTGCCAATCCTGTACAATTACGGTGTTGCCAATCCTGTACAATTACGGTGTTGCCAATCCTGTACAATTACGGTGTTGCCAATCCTGTACAATTACGGTGTTGCCAATCCTGTACAATTACGGTGTTGCCAACCCTGTACAAATACAGTGTTGCCAATCCTGTACAATTAAGGTGTTGCCAATCCTGTACAATTACGGTGTTGCCAATCCTGTACAATTACAGTGTTGCCAATCCTATACAATTACAGTGTTGCCAATCCTGTACAATTACAGTGTTGACAATCCTGTACAATTACAGTAGCGACAATCCTGTACAATTTCGGTAGCGACAATCCTGTACAATTTCGGTAGCGACAATCCTGTACAATTTCGGTAGCGACAATCCTGTACAATTTCGATAGCGACAATCCTGTACAATTACGGTAGCAACAATCCTGTACAATTTCGGTAGCGAAAATCCTGCACAATTACAGTAGCGACAATCCTGCACAATTACAGTAGCGACAATAATGCACAATTACAGTAGCGACAATCCTGTACAATTACAGTAGCGACAATCCTGTACAATTTCAGTAGCGACAATCTTATACAATTACGGTAGCGACAATCCTGTATAATTATGGTAGCGACAATCCTGTACAATTACGGTAGCGACAATCCTGTACAATTACAGTAGCGACAATCCTGTACAATTATGGTAGCGACAATCCTGTATAATTACGGTAGCGACAATCCTGTACAATTACAGTAGCGACAATCCTGTACAATTACAGTAGTGACAATCCTTTACAATTTCAGTAGTGACAATCCCGTATAAAATCAGTAGTGACAATCCCGTATAAATACAGCATTGACAATCCCGTATAAAATCAGTAGTGACAATCCCGTATAAAATCAGTAGTGACAATCCCGTATAAAATCAGTAGTGACAATCCCGTATAAATACAGCATTGACAATCCCGTATAAAATCAGTAGTGACAATCCCGTATAAATACAGTATTGACAATCCCGTATAAATACGGCATTGACAATCCCGTATAAATACAGCATTGACAATCCCGTATAAATACAGCATTGACAATCCCGTATAAATACAGCATTGACAATCCCGTATAAATACAGCATTGACAATCCCGTATAAATACAGCATTGACAATCCCGTATAAATACAGCATTGACAATCCCGTATAAATACAGCATTGACAATCCCGTATAAATACAGCATTGACAATCCCGTATAAATACAGCATTGACAATCCCGTATAAATACAGCATTGACAATCCCGTATAAATACAGCATTGACAATCCCATATAAATACAGCATTGACAATCCCGTATAAATACAGCATTGACAATCCCGTATAAATACAGCATTGACAATCCCGTATAAATACAGCATTGACAATCCCGTATAAATACAGCGTTGACAATCCCGTATAAATAGAGCGTTGACAATCCCGTATAAAATCAGTAGTGACAATCCCGTATAAATACAGCATTGACAATCCCGTATAAAATCAGTAGTGACAATCCCGTATAAATACGGTATTGACAATCCCGTATAAATACGGCATTGACAATCCCGTATAAATACAGCATTGACAATCCCGTATAAATACAGCATTGACAATCCCGTATAAATACAGCATTGACAATCCCGTATAAATACAGCATTGACAATCCCGTATAAATACAGCATTGACAATCCCGTATAAATACAGCATTGACAATCCCGTATAAATACAGCATTGACAATCCCGTATAAATACAGCATTGACAATCCCGTATAAATACAGCATTGACAATCCCGTATAAATACAGCATTGACAATCCCGTATAAATACAGCATTGACAATCCCGTATAAATACAGCATTGACAATCCCGTATAAATACAGCATTGACAATCCCGTATAAATACAGCGTTGACAATCCCGTATAAATACAGCGTTGACAATCCCGTATAAATACAGCATTGACAATCCCGTATAAATACAGCATTGAAAATTCCATATAAATACAGAACTAATAATTCTGCATATTGAAAATTCTTTATGAATATTGAAAACAGTAAAAATATTGAAAATTCAATATAAACATTGAAAAAGCTGTATACAGCATTGAAAATTCCATGTAACTATTGAAAAATTCATCTAAATATAGAAAATTCCATATGCAAATATAAAACATTACTTAGTTCCCACTCTAAAAGCATACCCATTCATACTACTCTTCAACAGTGCACTACCTCAACATTCCTCCCGTTTCCCTCTGTAACATGTAAAAAAAAAAAAAAAAATTGTTGAATCTTCAAAACGTTCAACTCTACAAAATCGTCAGTGGTAAACAAATAGTGCAGGTATTGCCTTTATGTAATCCACAGCAGTTTACACATTTTACCTTCATTGTATTGTATTACAAGTATTTTGTGCTTCACTTTAAATCCACAATCTGGGTAATCTGCCTGGGTAATCAGGCAAGCCAAACTTCACACAAGGCTGGACCACACACTTAAAAACAGACCCTGAATTTCTACACACGTTGCTTGAATTACATATTACTGCACAATAATGGCTGCTCTCGCCTTTGCCAAGCCTATACATAAAACGTCTACGTGTTCACATCCTGGCACTTGTTTAGTGGAGTAATACTAAAATTAACTTTACCATTCCTGAGCTCTAAATATCTGGCTTCACCTGTAATTTACATCCTGATATGCCTCATCAGCAGAACCCTTGTGCCAACTGCAGAGCCTTAGTTCTTCCTACTATCTATCTATCATGGCCTTTAAGTGTCATGCTACATCCCGAGGAAAGCTCTTCAGGGAACAATAATGATATTTTTATATACGTGTGAAAAAATGTCTTCGTACATTGATGAAATTTCTTGTACCTTGCTGTAAATGGCAACCTAGTCATCATTCCCACAGGAAACATTTGCTAAACAATTTTGCAGTTATGTGAATTTTGAAATTTATGTTTAATTATCTCAATTTAGTCGTTAAAGTTTTACAAGGTGGCCAGCTTTCATCTCATCCCTGTGCCCATTAACCAGTAAACTTAGCATCCTGATATGAAACAAAACATTAGTACATGCAGCATTCATATGCAACATTTCTTATTTTGTAACAATATTGCATTAGACAAGTACAGAAAGATCAAACAAAAATAGGGATGTGGCAACATTGATATACCAGTACTGTAATACTCATCAAGCCACATTCATTCTTGTGGATCATATGAATGAATATTTAGGCAAGCAACCAAAACATTGCGTAGACATTCACTATCGGGAATCAAACCTCAGCACCACTGCTAGACTGACCTACACAACGAAGCTAACAGTAGCAACAAATTCGTTAAAAAATTTTTAGGTAGTGAACATGTGTCAACAACAGCCTCTCCTATAAGACAAGTAACACACTACTAGTCACCTCTTTGTGAATGATGAGCATCTTGTGATCACCATCACCTAGAAGGAACAATGACAATGATTTGTAATATTCCTGTGTACTCTTCAAGTTACATAGGGTAAGATTCATAAATCATATCACATTATACAGTACAGAAAGCCTAGAAGTATTTAACATGAATAAAACACAGAGTAAGCTTAACAGGGTACATCTTCACATAACATTTAACAAATTCAAGTAAAGACGCTTCCCCCCGTCCCACAAAGTCAACTTGACAACAGTCACAATCTACGGGATGCACGCTAATAATACTATACATAACATGCTTTTAGTACAAATTATTAATACTGTAATATTATTACCAGCAAAGACACTTTACTCAAATGTTAATCCATGCATCATATAAGGAATACACATCACTTACATAAAAAAATTATAATAGTGGTGCTATGGTCATACGGCACACTTAAGGAATAACTATCAAGCCCCAAAAGATACAGCACTCAGGCATTTCATATGGGAGCTACACATGCACTGTCCCACAACCAAGATTACCCTTACCAGCATCCGAGCCGGGGTGGCTGCAGGAACAAACCTCCACGGCGGGGACGATCCTCCGAGTTCCAACTGGTCAAAAGACAGCCCACATATAAACAAACAAACATGCTACACCTGAATAACCTACCTCACAACCATTCATAGTAAGACCTGTACTCCAGAGCAACTGCCACAACTTGATGCCTTGCAACAGGATTCTTGCATTAGCAGTGGCAGTTTGCATTAGATCTAGTACAAGCCTTAATCTGCACAGCCATGTGGAACATCCTATCTCATTCAATTACTCATTGCAGTAATGGCCAATATCTCTGCTGTGATAAATACAGAAAGAGAATGGTACTGTACTAATGAGGACACTAATACAGTAATGCTGTCTCTATATTTTGTGTTATTGAACGGGATTACAAAGTTCCACACATACAGCCAAATAGTTGGTCACTGATCGGCAAGCTTTAAAATTAGTCAGAACTCACAAGGCATTTACTTTATATAAAATGGAGAGAGATCTATTAATTGTTAGTATTGCAACTTTCACAATACAGTGCAGCATTATCATCAATAGCCTAATTGTGAAAGACATGAATATACTGCAATCACCTTCAGTTAGTCTAAGTTTAGGTATACTACCTTATAGTATTAACAAGGAAACTCACACATGATACAAGATAATCAACTAAGTAACCTTCACCACACACTGATATTTCTTTGTGTCAAGTCCTCAGAAAATTAGTTAATGGTTTGACTGGAAATTATTACCAAAGAAAAGATCTTACATAGACAACCCCCTAACAAAATAAACAAAAAATTCTGACAATAAATGAATGAATGAGAAAGCATGAGTCATGAAAAGAGCAACACACCAGGGCCATCTTGAGGATACCTGTCAATATATATAACCAGTATACCCAATGAAGGTGCTCCATCCATAATGCTTCACTAGCTTAAATGACTCCACACCACCTCTTGCGTCTATTATGTAAAGTTATCAGTAACATGTAACACTAACCATATTTAGTAATGCTAGGCAAAGTCAAAAGTTTCCATCAACTATAGTAGTTTTTTTTAACTTGGAGTTATAAATTTTGCCACAATGCAAGTATAAAAGTCAGAAAATTGCCTAGAATATGTTTTGGTATATCTAATTATAACTTTGCTATTTTGAACTTATAGTACTAGGCTTTTTTACATTAAGTATACAGGAAAGTATTTACGGTATTGTATGTACTGTAGATACTTATTAAACCACTTTCAAATTTCAAGACAGAGTAACAGTTCTAAATAAATAAATACAAATAATACCATCAACACATGTACATATTGCAACCCGTTCTCGCAAATTTAATAAGTCAATATTGACTTATTAAATATGTGCATAGGTGACATACTTAACATAATAGATACCCTTAAAAAGATTCATAGAAAACACCGACCTTACCTAACCTACTTAGTATGTTAAGATAAGCATCTTATTGCTTCGTAATTACAATTATTACCTAACCTATAATAGGTATAGGTTAAGTAATAATTGTAATTACGAAGCAATAAGATGCTTATCTTAAGATACTAACAAGGTTAGGTAAGGTCGGTGTTTTCTATGAATCTTTTTAAGGGTATTTATTATGTTTAGTATATCACCTATGCACGTAGTTAATAAATCAATATTGACTTCACGAATTTGCGAGAACGGGTTGACATATTGCTGTTATAGTTTTGTACTTAACACAAGACTTGTTGGTCAGAGAACTTTACATACTGGTTTATAATTGTCTAGCTGCAATAAGAAATGAGGATAGCAGCTTGTGCTCCTAAAACTAAACTTCCCATGGTTACCATCAATTTATATACAACACCAAAACACAACCTAATAAAAGCAGCAAAACACACACACAGCAGAATGAGGGTGTGGAGCCTAAGCAAGTAATGAGGACGACTAAATGTCACCAGACACCGGCTCGTGACGACTCGTTTTCTCATAATGAAGGAAGTGAATATGGCTGGTGACAATGAGACAGGAGGGAACCTGAACATGGATGGCAAGAGCCTTTCACTTGGATCTGTGGATCCTACAGCAAAATAACTTTCAATTTCTGATTGCCCTTGATCCCACAGTAATGACTGCTCGATTGACTCGCTGATGAATAATTTCTCTGGCACAGGTCACTGGCACCAAATACATATGTCTAAACACAATTTTAGGTTTACAGTCTCAGCTCAATTCCCAGACAGAACCTCTGGAGTTTATCCACCTCCTCTATGTCAAAACTCTTTGTCTCGTATACGTTGGTCAGAAAGGTGCAGCCTAGCTAGGAGTATGTCCACTTGGTGGACATACTCAAATGTCTACCAAGTCATCAGAGCACAAAATCACCTACCACATAGATCAAGCACCGAATGTAATGAAATGCCTTTTTCAGAGGTTTTGGTAGCTCCGAGAGTCTCTGGTACTACTACAGACATTCACGAAACCATCGGGCCTCTGAACTTGTACAGGCCTACTGAACACCAAGACCAGAAACTGGAATATTCAGAGTCAAGGGAAATATGTGGATATGAAATCAGCCAGAATCCAAGTAAAACCACCCAGAAAGTACACAGCAAAACCACCAAATATCTTGATTAATAAGAAAGATGAAAAAGTTTTTTTGGCCCATACCAACAAACTATGCTCTAGTTCTAGTACACCATCAGGCAACAGCTAAGGTACCTACCTACCTGACCACTTGTTGAAGATTCCAGGGGGATCAATGTCCACACGGCATGGTTGCTGGTCTGATCAGGCTGTTTGAAGCAGCTGCTCGCAACCTGACGTACAAGTCACAGCCTGGTTCATTGGGTATTCTTTCAAGGTGCTTGTAGAGTTTTTTTTGAGCACCGAGAGGTTTTCCAATTATGCCCCGTACGTGTAGGGGAAGGCGTGTTGAAAAGTCTTGGGCCTTTGATATTGATCGGGTTCACCCTCAGCATGTCTATTGCCCCCCTCGGATTTTTAGTGGAGGCTATTTTGCACATCCTATCATGTCTTCTGGTCTCATGTGGTGCTATTTGTGTGTGTGCAGGTTTGGAACCAGGCCAAGTATTCTTCAAGTGTAAATTATTATGTATCTCTCCCATCTGTGCACTAGGAAATACAGATTTAAAATTTTTGACAGTCCCAATAATTTAGATTTTTAGTAAGTGGATTCTAGTGTTAAAGAATCTTTCCACACTCTCCAGGTCAGCAATTTCTTCAGTTTTGAATAGGGCTGTTAGTGTGCAACTATATTCCAATCTAGAGAGCACTAATATCTTAAAAAGTATCATCATTAGCATGGCATCTCTTGTTTGAAAGATTCTTGTTATCTAACATGTCATTTTTCTTGCAGCTGCGACTGCAACTTTTCTTCTTTAAAAATAAGGTCTTTTGACATTATTACTCCTAAATCTTTTACCCTGCATTTTTTTCAATAGTGTAGTTTGCCTGTTTTTAATGTGGTCGTTTTATTTTTTCCATAGTGCAGTGCAGTAATTGGAACTTATCCTCATTAAACGTGATTTTCTGTGGCACATTGAAAAAGACTTTATTACCATCAGATTGGAGGTTAGCTGTGTCATCTATGTTGTCTACTCTCATGAAAACTCTAGTGTCATCTCCAAATGATGATACAGTACTACAGTTTGAACCCTTGTCTATGTCTAATATGAGGATAAGGAAAAGTACCGGAGCAAACACTGATCTTTTCTGACTGATGGGGGCTGATCTTTTCACAGTGGATGATCCAGATTATACTTTGTTGGCTTATGATGGGAATATACAATTAAAAATAACTCCTATTACACAAAGACCAAAATTGTGTTACATAGTGTAATCTAATAATTTTAATACAATGAACTTCAGAAATTTCCAGCAACAGGTCTGGCATGAGGGTTCAGGTCTCAAGCCTTATACCGACACTGTAGCAAGTGAAAGTGCAACCTGTCCTTATCAACGAACGACTAAATATTCATTGATCAATCATCCAAAACAGCTCATCTAGCTTTAAGACGAGCCGAGAGAAGAGAAACTAACAAGACAATTGGACTGGGGCCCGATGGCTGAGTGGACAGCACTCGAGATTTGTAGTCCTGAGGTTCTGGGTTCGATCCACAGTGGAGGCGGAAACAAATGGGCAGTTTTTCACCCTGATGCTCCTGTTCATCTAGCAGTAAATAGGTACCTGGGAGTTAAGACAGTTGCTACGGGCTGCTTTCTGGGGGATGTGCAACAAAAAGAAGGCCTGGTCAAGGACCGGGCCGCGGGGATGCCAAGCCCCGAAATCGTCTCGAGATAACCTCTCGAGAAGATAACCCCTTAAAAATTAGCTCTGGTAAGGAAGAGGAAAATATAAGCCAATGCCAGAGAAGATAACCCTGAAGTACAGTTGGGATAAAGCATAAACACCCATGAAGCATAAAAATAAAAAAATGCCAAGCATAGCTCTCTCCCCACAGGAAAATAAAATTTACAAGGAATATGGCACCTAAGAAAAAAATAATGTTAGTCCTTGCAGTAGTGACGTTAGTGTAGTAGTTATGCGTGTGGTACCAGACACTCAACTGAGGAAGGCAGGCAGGCTTTACCCTTGAGTACCCTGAGTTACCACCTGGTGCTGCATTTGAACACACTTTCTTCACACTGGAATAATGATCCTCTCATTTCCAACTTCTCTCTTTAAATCAAGATACTGCACATAATTTGTTTTACTTAACCTTTACTTTAAGTGAGTTTACTAGATGTTGGACCAATGTACGAGGGCAGATAAATAGCAATTGCCATTCAATCCAAATAAGTAATGAAATGGGTAAGGGAGATAGGAGACCTGCATTTAACTCCACGTGGGGAAGGAAATATTAAGAAACCCGGGAGTAGACATAAACCCAATATTAACTCCATTAGCTAATGTGAAGATAACATTAGCAGCATATGGGAAGGTAGCAAACATAAGAACATAATTTATGAATCTGAACAAGGACCAGGTTGAGTGCCGGACCAACCGGGCTGTGGTGGGTATGTGGGCCTGCGGGCCGCTCCAAGCAACAGCCTGGTGGACCAA